TCTGCGCATGCGCTGCCCTCCCCTAGCCGTTGCAGTATCTAGAATGTATGTAACAATTCAAGGATTTTGAAATGTCTCTCTGCAACGAGTGGAACTGCTCTGGACAGGCTGAAACTGCTTCAGGCCACCAGGGAAGAACTCCAAGTGGTTGCCTGACCCCAACAGGGATGTGCACCCTGTTCCATTACAGACTGAGGCCAACATTACTTTGCAGTCTAGTTCCTTCTGTTAAGAAATCTGAATACAAAATAATTATTGCTGCCATAACGCTCACTGGCATAGACAACAAATATGGTATTGCAGACAGATAGGAGTGATGTGATTGACAGTGTTGAACGCTTGAAGACAGCTGAATTGTGGTTAGTAACTGCAAAGGATTAAAAAAACAGGTTTAGATAATAAAACTGTACTTAGTAGAACACATGTTCTCTTGTATCAATATGTTTACAAAGATACATACTTTAAAAAGAAATACATACAATACATACAAACATACAATCCAGTGGCCTAAATTGGTCAGAAGGAACTGAGGAAAGAAGTTATTTCAACATGGAATGCATAGGTTCAGTCACTCACTGAAGTTATATTAAGAAAAAAAAATAGCGTTTTTTTTCCAGGTTATTTCCTGTTTCTCACTTTCTGCTTGAAACTTGATCAACGATGTCAATATCACAATAATTTGGCTGCTGTTACTGGCTGTTGGAGAAGCAGTATCCTATACTGTCTACCTGATGTTTAAATTACATGACTTGGAGAGCCAGAATCCCATTTGAGTCACGGAGCAGCTGGACTTGTGGATACACATTCATCAGCACAGTAGGAGTTGCCTAACCAAGACAAATATACCATCTGCTTCACAGACTGCTTTCTCACAAGTAAGATATTCATTATCATATAGAGGAAAAGATCTATAATACCACATTATATAATGTGGAAATTACTAATTACTATATACTTTATTTTGTTTCTCTTTAAAGAATAAAAGGAAAATATTTATTTAATATTTTAGTAATAATTTAAATAATAATAATTATTTAAAATAATTGTTCCACATACAACAAACTTTTTATTTAGGATATGGGGTTTTTTTGAGAAAAAACTACTAGTGCATATCTAAACATAAAGAATACAATGCTTCAGTAGTGAATATAACTTAGACTAAGAATTCAGTATTTAGAAAGAGATGGAAAACAGTGCTAATATTACAGAGATGGTTTTTTTTTTAAAGAGACTTTACAGGAAAGAGCTGATTCATCTTGCTATCGAAAGAATTAGAGCAACAGCATATTACTGTTAATTACACACTACTGCTGCTTATTACTTGCTCAAGATGCAGGACAGCGGGCTTCGTATTTTTTCTTCAAGCCTCTCAAATATATTCGCAAGCTGTCTGGATCCAGTCGAGAATTTCTGGCAGTCTGGACCAATCTCATTGCTAAATGATATACAACTCTCTGTTTCATGGTCTCAGGAGTGCTTTTCTGTCTATGCTGTTCTTAAAAACAAAAACATGCATTAAAATATGGAATCTATGGCATTCTAGTGTCAAAATATTTGTGCTAGCTATTTTCTGGCCCATTACTGATCTGCTGATTTATACAGTATCTACAAAAAATTACTCTCAATACTCACTGACTTTAAGGACATCTTTTGGCTGTCATCTGGCAGCAAGCTTCAATACAATCTCTTACAACTGTTTCCAGAAATGCAAATTTTACTTCCTTGATAATTTATATTAGCATAAAAGCACTGGCAGTATGTATCCTTTATCTTCTTAGAAATAATGAAAATATACTGGACTTTTTAAAGACTAAATTTCAGTATTATAAATTACATACCAAAATTTGTCTTGCAATATGGTTTGTGATTTCCTTTGCATCCAAAACTATTGCTGGTGGTAGAGAGGAAACTTCTGCAGCTTTTAATCCTAAACATATAAAAGACAGAAGTTATTTTTGATGGTTTTGTTTCCTTTTCCCCTGCCTCCCCTGGTGTGATTAACTTGTTTTTATCAAATGTGATTTTTTTGGTTAAAAAATACATTTTCATACATTTTCTCTTGGTATCTGTACTAAGTAATTCTAATAGCAGTATTATTTATGAAACATGATATCTACTCTGCTGCAATACTGCCTCTAAAATACACTTCCACAAGAAGTTACTCTTTAACTAATATTTTTTTTTTTCATTTAGCAAAGTGACAAAGTATTAAGATTGGGCTAAATGAGTTCTCCACTAAATCTTGACATCCAGTGAAAATGGCTGCTATATTCGAATTCTTACTCTTCTTCTTACTCTTACTCTACTTCTTGCCTGTAGCCAAACTGTCAGATAACCAGTCAAAGACTTATGTAAAATGTTTGCTTCTTGCCTAAAATAATAGTACTTTTTCTTTAGCCCATGGCCCTGACTGTTCAGAGGAAGTTTTATGCTTCATCAGGTGCTTTAATACTGTCAGGTTAAAGCATAAAAGGTTCAAGGGAACCTTACATACTTTATTAGCTTTGTTCAGCTAAGATAAAGAAAATGCAGCAACACTGAGTTTCTTTTTTTTTTTTTTAAAGAGACTAATTTCTAAACCTGCCATTTTTCCCTGAGTTAAGCTTGTCTGAAATTAAACATGTTACCAAATCTGAAGAAACGCAGAATGATAATTCTGATGAAAGAAACATGTTTAGTCTGAAATTAATTCAGCCTTGACTACAATAATTGGAATAAGCCAGTTATCACAGGATTGTAAAAATCATCTGTAGCCAATTTACTATTGATTAAATATTACCTACAGCAAGGATCCAACTACAGATTTTAGCATTTGGAAATATGGGAATTTCTATAGCTCTTTAAAATTCTTAGATATGCTTTATTGCCATCCAATCATTGCTTTATTGGCCCATAATCATTTAATCCGTACAGTTTTCTGTACAATTTATTCTGAATTGAAAAGCAAACTCTCCTTCCTGAGAGCACTGACACTTCAGTACATCCATTGAAAATAGATTTAGACTGACAGACATTAAATTCATGTCACTTTTAAGGAAATTTGCTTCCTTTTTGCTAATCCAAAAAGGCAAAGTTTTACTTAATTTGTGCATGAGTGTTTATGACAAACACAAGACAGAGTTCTGGAATAATGACACTCAGCACTCGTTGCTTTAAATTTCCTTGGAACTTTCAGTTTTTCCATTTGCAAAGAAGAAAGCAGTTCGAATGCTGTGTGCTCACAATGGCTAAACTCATTCAAATGTGGTAGATAAAGCTGCTGCAGACACCACATGAAATTTGGCAGTGAAAAGATCTTTCAGTCAAGTATTCCATACTACCCCCAAATATTTTCCTACATGATTGCTTAAAAGCATAAAAATATTTGGAGCAGATTATAGGTCTGCCATTGTTACTCTGCAAGAGAGATTCAAACTCAGGAGAAACTTGTCAGTCAAAAAACATTAGATGCCCAGTAACTGAAGATGCCTTATATAATCTTTATTAAGTTGAAGTCATAATGTAATCTATTACCGTAGTTCTTTTCCTCTGTATATCCTTTAGAGAGTTTATAAGTATAAGCAATTTTCTCCTTATTTCCAACACTACTTCTCACATGTTGCACTTCAAAATGGTAATTTTCCACATTGGGGTATAAAGCATCTATATGGCATAGTTCCAGGAAATGTGTAGCAAACAATGTAAATGCCTAAACAAGACAAAAAAAAAAGTCTTATTTTTGAAAGTTATCTTGTCATAAATTACAGTAGATAATTAAATGATCTTAGATGTCGGAGTCTTCCTCCAAAACTTCCAACAGCTATTTTTAAATTACCAAAAATCACTAACAAATTAAAAACCTGAAGGAATTAGTTCTATGTGCATTTACTAAATGCTGTGAACATAAGCATGCCATAATAAAATAATAAATGATTACAAACTACTTAGATTTTAGACAAACTTTATCTTTTTAGGTCCTTTGTTTTCAATATGAAATTAGACTGGCTGGTGAATATACAAGCAGTTAGCTTAACTGCACAATTGGCAAGGATATTCCTTTCTGACTCTGGATTCTCCTACTCTTTTTTTTTAAGAGAAGAGAAAAAAAACAGAAGTAATGAGAAATTTCTGATACTTACAAAACAAATGACCAAATGATTTTCAGAAGACTGATTCATTTCTCAAGCTACATTTAGCCTAAAGTGCAAGCTATATATATATATATAAAATCAAGCTTTTTAAATTGAAACACAAAATTACTCAGTATCAACTCCAAGAAACTGAAGCACTTCCATAAGTTTACAACAGGGTGAGACAGATCATTTAGCTAGTAAAGAGGCAAAATTTCCAATCCATATAAAAGCATTTTCCCCTTTTCTCAAAAAGTGTCCAACTTCTGTATAACCAAATTTTAAGTTGTGTGGAACTACTATTGTATTTTAGAAAGATAACAGCCAGGTGAAGAGGTTTGCCTTTAATATTCAAGCATGTAATGCTCTACTGTTTGAGCCAAACTGGACAGATTGATTTTTTTTGTTTGTTTTTCCCAAAATAGGAAAGCAAACTTCCAAACAAGTTGTAAAGACTCAGCGATCAGAACAACAGTCTATGTCAGCATTTTTTCCTCTTTTGCTGAAATTCCTACTATTTACAGACTAAAATATTAGGCAAGAAATATTTACAAAATTAATATTACTGCATATAAAAAAGTGTATTTACTTTCAGTATGATGCAATACTTGCAACCTTTATTTTATGTGTTTTTTTACACAATTACCTTCAAACTCAACAGATATTCACAGGCAGCGTAACAAATGCCAATACCTTCTTCAGTGCTGGTACCTCTTCCGAGTTCGTCAATTATGATGAGTGATTTGTCATTAGCATTTTGTATGATATATGTTATCTAGGAAAATATTTAGTTTATCATCATTGCTAGAAATACATCTTTTAAAATGATATTAACAGGAATATATTGTGTTACTTGGATGAAATTTAACTTAATCTTTGACCACTTTTAAAAGGTACACTGTTTTAGTGGAAAGTAGTATAATTTCTATCAGTTTAATAGTAAAAATGGGCCTCGAACTCTGTAACAGCAATGCTTAGTACCTCTTTCATTTCCTTCATGAATGTAGATGCATTTGTTTCTATATCATCATCCATACCTATTCTGGTGAAAATTTGCTCTGCAATTCTAAAAGAACAATATTCTGCAGGGACGTAAGAACCTGCCAAAAAAAAAAAGAAAGAAAAAAAGAAAAAAGAAAAGAAAGGAAAAGAAAAAAAAGAAAAAAAGTAAAAGTTTTCTCCTATCAGTCTGACAAATGCCGGTTTCTCTGACTATGTCAGTGGGACATAAATCACCTTAGCATTTTGTCTTCATGCACTTCAGAGAATTAAATTTACGCTATGAAGTTTCTTAAGATGTGTTCTACTATTGCTTTATACGAAAAATAATAGTATAGATACCAGGATTAAATAAATTTATCAGGAAAACTTTATGATGTTGTATGCTTGAAGCTGTCAGTCTAAAGGGATGCTCAAGTTAGAACAAACTCCAGGATTAATTTCCATTTTAGCCATTGAGCACTAACTCCAGGAAATCCTGCTTTCATAATCCAAGACTGGTATTGATTTATCAGATTTTGAGACTTGCTAATTTTACTAACTAAAAGAGCAAGCCTGCCAAAAGACTTCACAAGCTCCTTAACTCAATACAAGACTATCTTTCGCGAGTATGATTCCTGAAGAACTTGCAGTTATTAGGGATTAGGTCTGTAAGTGCATCCTGTATCAATTTTACTCTCCCCTAATAAGTAGTTTTAATCAAGGCAACAAGGGCCAGCATATTGAAATCTTTCTCCTGCAATACTTTAAGGTAAAATCATGAAGTAGTTGTTGAGTACAAGGATATGTCCTAGACAGTTAGACTTTACAGATACTTACTTTATATTTATAATTTTACTGATAGAGCTTTGCAGTTTTTATTACTTTTTTTTTTTTTTTGATGTAGTAGTTAATGGATAAGCTCTGCTTGGCCATAGGCATATGTCTTCATACAACTGAAACGCACTCAAGTTTATTCCTTTTTTATCTAGCTTGAATGGCATGCTTCCAGGACACCATCAAGTAAGCATGAACTAGGGTGCTCCAAAGAGAAAAAGCACACAACTGGTAACCTTCTGCTAAGATGGACAGTGAATGCTGACAGATGACACAAGGGCCAGGGGCATGAGGACCCCAAACCTTTCAACGGCCTCCGTCAGCAACACAACAGCTAGTAGGAGCAGAAGGACTGAAAAATTACCTGCTACTGTTTAGAGAGAACATTACCCTCAGAGCCAAATCATTCAACTTTGTAAATTATTTTAAACTTGAAGACTTATTATAAGAGTACTGCAAAAGATCACTGATATAGTAACCTGCTGCTTACCAATCTGCGCCATAATTTGACAGAGAGCAATCTGTTTTAGATATGTTGATTTTCCACTCATATTTGGCCCTGTAATAATGATGAAACTGCTACCCTCTGTCAGATACGTGTTATTTGACACAGGTTTTTCCACGGCTATTTTTTCAAGAATGGGATGCCATCCCTGCTTGATTGCTAAAGTATCTGTAAATTCTGGACGAACTAAATGAGAAGAACATAAAATATTACAGATTTAATGTGGAAACCTTTAAGTTACTAAACTGGTACATTCTGAAATAAAGTCATTATTGCAGAAGAGAAGTAAAAATCTGAAGTCCTGATTTTTACTCCTCTAGTCAGCAACACTGCTTATAAAATTATATATAGATACATACACATACACATCTATATATTTACGTGTGCCAGATTTTTAAGAACCACTGAGAAATTACTATTTGTTATTACCAAATTATCAAAGATGAAACACTTGAGTTAGGAACAATTTTCAAGTATAGATGATGATTGTCATATAAGTCTTCATGACTAGTACAAAAACACACCAACATTCCTTTCATGTCTGTGTTCCGCCATAGGACTCCGGTAATACACTAGATTTGAAGAGTGAAACTTGAAAAGGAATTTAAACTGGAAATCTGAAACACAGTTTTATAAACTAGTAGAATCTGAACATGCGAAACACAGGGGTCATGAAATGTATCTGTTACTATTATGTAAGAACTTTATTATATAAAAATGGAGAACAACGAAGTAGCATTGTTTTCTTTTTTTTGTTAATATTTTATCATTTTGCTAATTTGGGCATATGACATACCTATACAGATTCATGCGATACAGGGACTATCTACAAATATATCTGGCAGAATACATTTTTTTATTCTCCATTAATTCCTTATGCCTCCTCTCTCTCTAGTTCTATTGCAATACCCCAGGCTAACAGAGACAGACTGTTATAAATCAGAAAGTTTGTTAAATTCAGTTAAATTTAAAACTGAAAAAATGCAGCTTTTCAAGTTTAAAGACTGGGCAGCTTTAATTATCTGATGCCTGCATTTAGTCATTTCATGATGTGGGAAGTCAAGTCTCAAAGGGAACCATAAGCTACAAAACAGTCATTTCTTTGGGTGATACACACATGCCTGCATGCTATGGGCAATTCTGCACAGGTGCAGATTCCTGGCAGAAGCTGAGCAGCTTTGGTCTCCATATTACTACTGCTGATGAAAGATCATGCTCCATTCATTGGACGGGAAAAAGTATAATGCATGGGAACATGTCAGTTACTTGTTGTGATTGTATTCAATAGCGCATGAGGATTCACAGGTTCCATACTACAAAGGCAAAACCTGCATTGGAAGTTTCATAGCTGCATCAGTAGTGCTGAGCTAGTTATCTCCTCCTGAAACAGCTTCCAGGCCTGAATCAGTATCTAGATCAGTATCTATGTGCAAGCATCTTAAGTCAGCATTAAGTTTAGACTGTGGGAATGCTTATACTTTGCAGAACTGGACTGGGAAAGCGGGATGACCCAACGATGTAATACAACAGAATCCCTGAGGCAGGACATAAACAATAGGCATGGAAGTAGGACATAAGTAAGCATGTGATCCTGGATTCCTTAGAAGGGTGATTCTCCAAAATGCCTAGCTGAAGCAGGTAAAGATAGCCACTTATTTTGCCCTCAGGTATATACTTAATGTTCACCTGATTATAATTGTGTCCTATGGGAACAGAACTGTAAACTCAAATATTTAGAGACTTCATGCTTTTGAATAGAATATATTGAAAAGATACTGGTTTTGAAGGCTTATAGCAGCTAAATGACAGAATACAATTTCAATTAATGGATACAGAAAGAACACAATCACAAAACTTGAAATGCATACTAGAGCCAAATAGAGCAGGAGCCTACTGAGAAACAGAAAAATAAATTACACTGATGTAGTTATTACAAAACAAGAAAAAGCAGTCGAAATATTCTCCAACAGAAGTGTCTTTATCTGGTCTATGACAGAATGAAGGAAGAAACTTACCATAGTCAGACAGGGTACAGGCATGGGCAAATGAAAGCAGCATGTCCAGCATTGACACAATATCAGATAGCTTGTACAGGCAGTGAATATATTCATAGATCTCATTGAGTAGTTTACATACTATTCTGCAATGAGACTTAGTGTTTACACAGTACATTTTGCCACTTTATACGACTTACAGAAATAAAATAACAATTAACAATGTTACTACCACATATATTTGGACAGAAAGTTACATCACAAAATGCAATCAACATCTGTCAGATCCAAGCAAATGTGTAAATTTCTTTGAAGCATATTAAGATCTTATACCACAGACACATAGCTCAAATATCAACAACTCAAAGTTTCACAAAGGGAATAAAAATTTAACTGTGGAATCTTTTCTTGTAATTGGCATCTCAAATGTTAGTACGTATGTGACTAATTCCCTTAGGCTTTCATGTTACTAATGAAACCACATGGTCTCTAGAATGAGTTTCCATAAAATTAACATGCAACATTAGACCTGGTCTATACAGTCTTACTGTATAGATAGTGTAAGATGTAAAAAACATGCACCAAGGACAAAAACGTAGAAATTGTTCTGCTGTAAATGCAAGGAACTAGTTAAAAAAGTGACTCTGCATTATAAAATTAATATATACATTGTGTCATTTTGTGTAGATAATTCACCTCAAAGAAATTTAATGTGAAAGATTAACCGATTAAATGTGTTTAAATGTGAAAGATACCTCTATTGATAAAGGCCTAAATATCTGTAAACATACACAATATGCCACACATTTCACGTTATTTTTTCTCTCCAGATTTATACCCGATTAGTGTCACAGATTGTTTCTGTAAGTGACCATAGCTTAGCAATAAGATAAGGTTAAGCAAACTTGTAATTAGCCGGTAATAGAAAATAAATGCAATTAGCCTAAACATTAAACAGTTTTAAATGCTCTTACAAGTAGGTCATGTGATAAATTTCTCTGAGGGATTCCTGACATCTTTCATTCATTTTTATTAAGTCAGCTGAAGTAAAGCTGTATGTGTTTTTCATTTTAGTGATCTGCAGGAAATTCAAACCAACAATCAAAACTTGCCATATAACCAGTTCTCGAAAAACCAAACTGGGAACAATAAGCAAATATTACTGTCTCATTTTAAATAAAAATTTATCTAGGAAAAAATAAGAATTTTTCAATTCAAATTCAATTCAATCCAAGAGAATGCAGTTATCAGCAGGATATACGATTTATAATTGCACATTTTCTGACTATATTAAGGCTAACTATAAATAGAGTAGGTATAAAAGCATACCAAAATATACACCCTCACTTATTTCTAAGCATCTTCGCTTAAGTTATTTTTATTGATATATTATTTTATAATGTACATTTTGTTAATGTTTTATGTACATCTTATATACATTTGTTATACAAAGATATTATGACAAAATAGCTCTAGTGCAGATACCTTTGTAAACTCTGAAGGAAGCTGGCCATTGGGTAATACTGAACAATCAGCATTCATCTGGATAAAAAATCCACGAGCAGAGCTGAAACTTGTTCTCATTGGTAGATTGTACTTTTCAGCAAGTTGTGTTATCAGACCTATGTACCACAGATAAAGGTTTGATCAAAATTAGTTATATACATGCACATCTCTGCATCAGTAAATAAACATACTTCATATGTTGAAGGTGTCAGGTATAACACGTGTCAAAAGGTCTTAAAAGTGGGCTTCTGTGAAGTTAAAAGAGCTCAATAATATTATAAAATCGGGTTGCCTACTGGGAAAAAGTTCCCTGTAAGACCAGTCGTGCATTCTTACTAAAAGCAGTCCTTACATTTGACCAACTCCCAGGTAGATTGGGCTATCGAAAGGGAAGCGTCCTAGAGCTTCAGATAATATTTAATGAACAGACAGACTACAGGCAGAAAAAGACAGGGTTACTTTGCGCTATTTCCCTGCTGCTCATTCTTCTGTCTAAGCTTGCCCACTTTCTGATGTTCCAACCACTCACGACATAGAAGAGCAAGCTGTGCCATTCTGGATATCACAGTCTAAGTTACTTAAGAGTTTAATCTAGTAAAAACGAAAAGAGACAAGAATCCCTTTTGCAAACATGTGGGCTGCAGTGAAAACAGACAAGGGGAACACAGCTACCAATTTTGAAAGGCTTAGGAAATAAAAAAGAATAATGCTTATACTTTTCTCTCTGTACCATGCAGAAAGTGAACAGGACCCCAGATCATATTAGAGATGAAGTTTCGGAAAGCTTGTTAATTTTTTTTTTTCCTAATTAAACAGTAACCTAAGGAATTACTCAGCTGTACATCAACATTTTACACTACAAGAAAAAGATTAAAAGATATGTTCCAGACCTTTATCTGACACTTAATGAAAAACAATAAGGTTATTATTCCACACCAGCAGCCATTATGCTAAAATTCCTAGCATTATTCTTTCCAGCTCTTAACAGCTTGGTTAAAAAGCAGTCTACAGATATATCGAGACTGTTTAAAATATAAGGAAGAAAATAGTCAAATATTTTCATTCAAGAAGGTAGAACTTTAGGCAGAATATTTTAAATTGAATAATTTTGCGATAATAAATTTTCTGTGCATTTTTAGAAGATAAGGAGCACCAAAATTTTAAATAAAGGAATCACAACCTAACTGTTTATCCCCACTTAAATAAAAAATGAGAATTTTTATGTACAAATGGAAAATACTTGTAAATGCCTGAAATGTATTTCAATTACTCACCAATGACAATCAATTTATACTAATACTCAGTCACTTTCATCTGAGAAGATTTTCATAATATATCTGATTGTGTATCTCCTGCATGCTAGACGCAATATATTTTGAATTTCAAAACATACCTGCTATGTCATCAACAATTTCTGTGTATGTTCTACGAGCTATATCAAGGAATTCATTGACGTTTGGCTTTACAGCATAGCATTTTTGGGTCCTCATATTCAGACATCCTTTTGTATACCGTGTATCATCATTAATTACAGCTGTTATCTTTTCAAGTATAATTCCAAACCTGGAATATTAGTTGCATCACCAGTTAAATTAACTACTTAATACTTTATGATTTGTATTTCCATTATCATTCTGAAATTACAAACAGTACTACAGATAACTGAAGCAAATACACCTGTGTTGTTAGAATAAGCATGTGATTTTTTCACCTCAGAACAAAGTATGAGTACACTGAAATCTGATATAAAACGTCACTCAAGTCTTTTGCAGAGAGTTATTTCTCAAATATGGGTCAGAATTGTTTTTGGCATTATTATGCAGACTCAAAGAAGCCCATAATTCTGTCTTTTTATAATGTTTTCTATTTGAGTACTTAATTTAACAAATCTTTATTGTTATTCAGCAACTGCAATATGTCCGATAATTTTCTATTTTGCTTTATGCACTATGCTTATATTAGTTGAAAAATAGTTTTAAGTTATCTGCATTTACGTGAAACAAAAAAGCTACAGCTATAACTACAAATAAACAAAGATGTAATATGCTTGATCTTACAGACATCCGCAAGGAAGATGAAAGTTTCTAGCATACCAGCTAAAATAATACTGTAATACCTTGAATCTTCGAGGGAACTGTAGTATGCTTTTAGCAGAGGCGTGCTACAGTTTCTTAAAGCAGCCTGTTGAAAATTAAAATATGAATACAAATATTTACTTAATTTCACACTCCTTTCAAAAGACTGTAAGGTTTCAGATTCATTGAGGCTTACTAGCAGTTGCATGAACACCTTACAGAAGTCATGCAGGACATTCCACTAAATATTTGTAACGAAACTAGTTATTCCGGTACCATAAGAATCCATTTCTTAGAGTACTGGATGGACTCAAAACATGTTTTCAAGTAGCTTAAGAGTTAGTATGTTAGTATTGTGTTCTGCAAGTTACAAAGTAAATATAACGACTGCATTAAAATAAAGACTAACTGGTCTGTACTTTATACAGAGGTGAAAAAGAAAAGGCTTACCTTTAGAGGCTCTACAAGTTCTAGCGTATGCTTCAAGTAGATTAAATTAGTTATTTTTGATTCAGCAGTTTTAACCTGTTCAAAAAGTTTACAAAAGTTGAAGGGATTTGTACACTTGTTTGTTTGAAGAAATTTAAGAATGAGCAGAACTCTCAGTATAATTTTATCAGATTTATCCTTTAAATTTTAATTAAAATTGCTAAACCACTCCTTTGACAATCTGACACATAGCTACTTAAAAGTGTGCACCTGAATTTATATTGCCAATTGTGGTAATTTGCTGAACAGTAACTTTTCACACATATGCACTGATAATAGAGATTGACAATGAGAACACTAGGCTAACTCAAGCTGTCTTAAAATGAATTATATTGTAGGATTAGCATGAATTATGTGGTAGGATGATTCACCGTGTTTAAAATTAAGTAGAACAGATTTCCCCTATATCTTGGTAGGATGGGAAGAAACTTGTCAGTAGAACAGAGCTAGCATTCTTTTAACATGGACAGCCTGGAGCTGGCCTTTAAAATTGGAGTGGTTTTCACACACTGCAAACTTCACAAGAAAAGCCAGGATCCTTGTATTCTTAAGAAAACTGTCTTCACTATGATATGAAAAATCATGCCCATAGGTCAAAAAGACCTTTGTCCAGGTGAAGACCCTTCCCCTGAGCATGCATAATAGTGAACATAATGAGTAAGCAATATTATAATTGCATGTAAATATGTAAGCCTCTCCTTTACAACAATTTGCCCACAGTCATATTTTGATGACATATAAAGCATGAAAATTTAGATAAGCAGGTGGTTTTGGGCACACAATGTATTACTGTGAAAAATGTTAATTTTTGTATTTCCTGAAAATTCAAGCAAGCTGAAACAAGTAAACAAAGAAAAAAAAAAAGAAAGAAAAAAGAGGAAAAAAAAAAGAAAAAGAAAAAAGATGTCTTCTGTCTACCTACTACTCCTCTGACAGGAGTAGTAGGTAATATCTAGACCATTGTCTGGAACTTCACGAGGAACACCATTCATTAAACATATTCTTCAAATGGGTGATGAAGTGATTCAGAAATGGTGGTTTGCATTTCCCTCCAAAAGCTGGATATTTATCTAGCCTTTAAGGATCCTTCATGACTGAGACAAGACTTTTTTTTAAGGAAACGTGCTTCTTCGTCCAGATACCTTTGATCTACTTATACATGCAGATTCCACAGAAGGACTACCTGATTTCATAGATACTTTTTTCAAGCAAGACATCTCATGGAGATTGTCAATTGATTGTCCTTTTTAGTAAGACAGAATACTCCCTTCCAACACACTACTAACACTTTCAGTGCCTGAATCTGTAGGTTTCAGCACCTCATCTGTTGAGTGGTGGAATATCTTCAATGAAAATTGTTACGAACAGTGGGAAGAAAAAAAAAAAAAAAAAAAAAAAAAAAGGAAGTGAGTGAAAAAAAAAGACCTCTGAACATACTGAATGGGTTACTCTAGCTGTGCTGTATTGGAACTATTCAAGTTTGAAAACACTGTAGTTAAAGCTTAGTGCATAGTGTCATGTGTATATATAAATGAATTCAGTCTGACAAGTCTTCATCAAAGTCACAGAGTTAGTTTTGAGAGAGTTTTCATGTTACAGACCTCTACAAGGAAAGCAGAGTAAATATTCAGCTTTTGAAGTGCATCTTAAGACAGATTTATCTGTATGAGGGTCCTGTTGGACACTGCATCATACTTCTTTAACTGGCATTGAACAAGTCATTTATCTAAGCAGATAAGTCAGTATGAGATGGAAGCAAAAGGTGAGTCATAAATCTTTACACTGGCATAAAACAAACAAGGGATAAGCCTCAACAGCACTAGCTACAATGGAGTGTTACAAGATGCCAAGGCAAAGAAGTTGAGGTTATCTCAAACACATTGTAGCAGTGTTGTGCCTACTCTCCATCAAGAGCCACTAATCAGTGACATTTACTGTTTTTTACTGTTTTGATATTTCTATCTCATATGTTAATCCTAATTGATATAAGAGCTAAGCTCTGATGACAGGAATATCTCTCCCTGAAACATGCCAGTAGTTACTAGAAAAGACAGCCTCAGTGATTTTTGTTTTATGAACCAGCAAAGAACAGAAGGTCACTGCAAGCCTAACAAAGAAATGTTGGTGCACTGAAGGAACAGAAACCTCTACTTTATGAGGTTTCTGACTGTTGCCTGGTTAAAAATACAACAGCATGAGATTCAAGGTGAAAGATTCCATCTGTGCTGATTTCTTGAAAGACTTCAAAGGGGAAGCATCTATTCTTTTCAGACTATAAGGAATCATTTCTGTTGATTTATATTACATAAAATACTAACAAATTCTTAGTATTTCTAATAGGAAAGATGCCTGATTTTGTTTAGGCTATCAAAAATCATATTAACTTCCGAAGATAAGAAATAGATTTCTCACAGCACCACAGAATGGTTGAGGTGGGAAGGGATCTCTAGGACCATCTAGCCCAATCCCTGCTCCAGCAGGGACACCCAGAACACATGGCACAGGGTGGCATCCAGGCGGATTTTGAAGATCTCCAGAGAGGGAGACTCTACAACCTCTGTGGGAAGCCTGTTCCACGGCTCTGTCACCCATGTCATTTTTTTCCTCCTATACATTTTTTCATTTCATGCTGATGTGAAAAAAAATCCTTTAAGCATTAATGAATAGGATGTACATATATGATGAATAGGATGAATAAACACGGGGACTGATGAAAAATAAAACATTTATGAAGTCCAATTTGCATGAAATAAATGTGATATTAAAGCAAATCCCATTTTTTCTAACATTCTCTCACGAAAATTTTCCACTGCTGTGAAGAAAGATATACTCTTAGTACATTATGACATCATACCATGTCTTTTTGAAGTGCGACCTTTTTCTTATAACATCAGGCATATACATATATATATATACACACACACATACACAGATATCACATTTATATATTGCATATTCTCTTCAGATAACTGATTAAGAGATATTTTGAAACATACTGTATCCTGCTTTGGAATTTGTACCAAAACTGAAAGTAGCTGTTCAGTATCCAGGAATTTTGAGATAACTGCAGAACAAAAGTAAACAGATCAGAAGTTTAACTGAAATATAATTATATTAGCAAATTAGTTTAAAAGTATGCACACAATTACCTAGCAACAGTTTTGTTCACCACAATATTTAAAAAAAAATAGCTATATGACTATACTTCCCATCCTTAAGAATGCAGAGACTGTTATACTGGTGGACATACCTTTCACTAATTCAATGATATATTTTTAAGTAAAGCAGTTTTCAAAGTATCTAGAGAATAATAAAGCTAAGAATATTCCCACGGACAACACAATAAAGAAAATATAGGAAAAGAAAGACTTTGACAACCGAACTGCCCATAAAAAACTTTTCTTGTCTACACTTACAGAACACTGTACATATCTAGCCATACTATCCAATTTATCAGAGAAGCTCAATTTGCTTAGCAAAATACTTAAGAAAAAGGTTACTACCACAGAATAAATGTGTTAACAAAATAAAATGCTGACTCCAAAAACTTAAAAGTCACCTGACATCTCAATAAATATCTGGTGATTCATATTGTACATTTTCACAAATTATCAATAAGATTAAAAATGAATTTAACTATTTATTCAAGTACAAACTACTACCTGCTTGAAGACCAAAAAACAGCTCCTCATCCTGGAGTAATTCTTGCACACAGTCCAGTCTTGTGTTAATTGTTTCAGCATCAAGTAGTGGCTCCAGGATATTTGACCTAAGTCTTCGACTTCCACCTGGAGTTTTCGTGTAATTTAGGATACCAAAAAGCGTATGACCATTCCTTTCAAAACAAAATATGTGTAAAAAAGACACTCACAAAAATAAAGATGATAAATAGCATATGACATTTTCAGATGAAAGTATCCTATAAATTTGAAGTTAGTTTTCAGGATGTTTAACACCTTCCTATTTACGATGTATATTAACTCCAGTAGTTTAGGAAATCAGAAGTAATTTAATCTAATATTAACCAACATTATATCAATTTCCATGGATTTATTTCTATTTTTTAATAAAGGTCTTAAATAGTTACATCTAATACATCGTTTAGAAAGTCTTAAAACATTAAATCTTCAAAATCTTTGCTTGAGAGGTAGCCAGTGGAAAGACTACAATCATATAAACATACTAAATGTGGAAGGGAAACTCTACATCGGATACATTGCCTACCTTTAAGCCACTGAGGGCTCATTTCCCTTTACAGTAGAGAGACCAACTCCTCCAGGAGGAATACTGGAAGAGGAATCACATTTAGATACTTTTGGTTGGTGTCTATATTAAAATCTTTCTATTAATATCTGATATGCTTTAATGCTTCAGGGGTAAGACCTATGCAATGATGATGCTGCCCACAGTCTAATTCAAACCTGCCACTGGGTCAGCAGAATGTCTGCAGTGATAAATGCTAAAAGAGAAGCTGACAAGTGTTTTCTATTGCTCATTTCCTCTTATGGCCTCCTTTCTCTGTGGAATTAGGAGCAGCTCTCACAGAAATATTGCTTTGAGAGTACTTCTCTTTGAGAGATGACCTCCTACAATTACAAATGTACCTATGGAGCAGAAAAAGGAAGATATATCGGAGAAATACTTGCCCTGGGTAGAGGAAGATTGGGTCAGAGAGCACCTAAGGAAACTCGATACCCACAAATCCATGGGCCCTGATGGGATGCACCCCAGAGTTCTGCGTGAGCTGGCAGAGGTCATAGCTAAGCTGCTCTCCATCATCTTTGAAAGATCCTGGAGAACAAAGGAGGTGCCAGAGGACTGGAAGACAGCCAGTGTCATGCCAGTCTTCAAAAAAGGCAAGGAGGAGGACCCAGGCAACTACAGGCCAGTCAGTCTCACCTCCGTCCCTGGAAAAGTGACGGAGCGGCTCATACTGGCCTTGTCCCCAGGCACGTGAAGGACAAGAAGGTGCTCAAGAGTAGTCAGCATGGATTCACCAAGGGGAAATCCTGCTTAACTAACCTGATAGCCTTCTATGATGGAATGACCAGCTCGATAGATGAGGCGAGAGCGGTGGATGTTGTCTATCTCGACTTCACCAACGCTTTTGACACCCTCACAACATCCTCCTGGGCAAGCTCTGGACGTGTGGGATAGATGAGTGGACAGTGAGGTGGATTAGGAATTGGCTGGATGGCAGAGCTCAGAGGGTGGTGATCAGTGGTGCAGAGTCTAGTTGGAGACCTGTAGCTAGCGGTGTCCCCCAGGGGTCAGTCCTCAGTCCAGTCCTGTTCAATTTATTCCTCAATGATCTGGATGAAGGCACAGAGTGCTCCCTCAGCAAGTTTGCGGATGATATGAAACTGGGAGGAGTAGCTGATATCCCCAAAGGGCTGCACTGTCATCCTGAGGGACCTGGACAGACTGGATAACTGGACGGTGAAAAACCTCATGCAATTCAACAAGGCCAAGTGCAAGGT